CAAGCGCTTTTCCAACATTAAGGACATTTTTGAGCACCAGTACTTTGGCGAGGTAGACTGGCAGACGTTGCGCGACACCAAGGCGCCGTTTGTGCCCGAGCTGGACTCGGAGACGGACGCCGGCTACTTTGACGACTTTAGCAACGAGGCCGACATGGCAAAGTACAAGGAGGTGCACGAGAAACAGATGGCACTTGAGACCATGGCGGAGCGCGAGGAGGAGATGAGCAAGAGCTTATTTGTCGGCTTTACGTTCCGGCACCGCAAGCCGGCTGGCGAGGATGGTAGTAGCCCGCGTAAGCCGATCCCGTTTGCTCCCGAGGAGAACACATTTGGCACAATGCTGTAGGGCGGCAGCCATCAGCAGCAAAGAGCTAGGAATGAAAACTTGTATGGGTATTATCATGGCGGGTATGGTCATGGGTATGAGTACCCCAGAGTTGGGGCCGGGTGGAGGACGAGCCTCCAGGTGCCGGGACAGGTGGCTGTGATGCCGCAGCCGCCGCAGCAGCCACAGCACCAGCGCCAGCATCAATGGCTAGGACGGACGCATGATGGGGTGCAGCAACAGGTGCAGCGGGTACATGCACAGAGAGAGTTTGTGTTGATGTGATGGGGTTCGGATGGGAGCGTTTGCAGCTTAGGAGGGTAGAGGAAGAAGGGATGACGGCGATATGGGTTCTGAGGAGATTAATGTTTGCTTCCTTTTTTTTCGGTCTGTCTGGTTTATTATCGTCTTGTATTGCCGCAAGGTTTTTCTTTCGTAACGACAGTACCACCGCTTTGTTTTGCGTGTATGGAGTTTTGATCCGGGCTCTTTTCCTTGTAAAGGGAGAGATGATGCTTAGAGGGTGGGGATAGGCATGGGAATACGGTATGGAGCAATGGAATAGAGTTGAATCAAGAACATTGCATGCCGCCAAATTAGTAGGGCAGCTATTGTGAGAGCAGGTGTGGGTGTAGTGGCCAAGCTCTTGGACGAGAAAAAGTCTATTTAGATTTTCTAGGGGAGCGAGCGACGCGTCATGAAAGACAGAGCAGAGAATCGCGGAACATCGGATATCAATAGCCATGTTGTCGCATGTCCCACTGCTGTCTTTTCTCCGTGACGGGGATCCCCCTTACGTGTATGTATGAAGTAAGGATGAGGGGCAGGACGGCATACTCCATCCACGTTCACAGTCGCTGGCGTACTAAACCTGCTGTCAGGCTGGAAAAAAAAGGAGGACAGGCATGCAAAAGCATGCCGTGTGCAGAGGTGCGGTGGGATGCAGAGGCGCGGTGGGACGGATGCAGGTGGCAGAAGCAGAAAAAGTCTGGTCGCAGGAAGCCTCGGCGCAGAAAACATGCAAAATGCCAGCCGCTGACAAGCCGGTGCGGCTGGCAGTGGCTCATGTGATCTGGAGTCGCCCTGGCTGTCGTCGTCATCACATCGGGGAATCGGCGCTTGTAAGTGTACTTTTTTGGAACGGTATGTACGGTAGTCGTGGCCGAGAGGTGGCTGACTACCGGAAAGCTGCGCTAACACAGAGCAGGTTGGGCGCAGAGGTTGGGCGGGTCAGTGGAAGGGCTTGAGTGCGGAGAGGAGGGAAACGATCGACAGATGACGACCTCAACCTATAAGTGAGATTGATAAGATTAGATCCTGGCGCACTATTGGACAAAACTTGTGTAATTTGGACCTTACAGAACTCAGGGTTCAGTGCTGGGCAGTGCGCGCTGCCCCTGTGCTCACTGCTTCCTACCCTGTGCTGGCAGGTTGGGCTTACCCGGACAGGGTTGAATCTGAAACCGTCCTAGCGGGATATTTTTGGGTGGGAAGGCTCGTTCCTCAATCCCACCCAGAAATCCGCCCTCTCTCTGTTTATGCCCAGCCCTATCCAGCGGGACTGCACGACAGACGTCACAGAGCGAGCGCGCTGCTTCTTTTGGCAACACCAGTAACGTCTTCTGAACCGTCTTTTCTTTTCAGCCCCGCGGGCTATGGAAGAAGGGGAAGCAGGAGCGGTAGGGATGCGCCGACGGTGGAGGCGTTGAGGTCATGATCTGACCGAAAACCAACGACGCTCGACCCGGTCCCAAACTCACAGAGCGCTTGGGATTGGCGCATCGGACATTCCCCAAGCTTGAGGCGCCACATCCGACGGCCAGCTGCACTTCACTCTTCCGCCTCTCTGCCGACCTTTCTCGCACTTCTGCGAGTAGCCCCAGCTCAAAGTAACTAAAAGGATCCACGCCGTTAGACCGACTGCCTCATCGCTGGCCAATCAGTCGAGTGGTGACTAGCGTGGTGACTCTTTCCAAAGGTTCGGATTTTAGTCCTTTGCTTTTTTTCCTCTCTCGATCGGGCGAGAAATTTGAGCAGTGCCAGCCTGGAGCCTGAGCCCTGCCCCCCGCCCTGGCTCAGGGCATCTCGGTCGAGATCGCGTTCGGTCCCGAGACGTGGTGGCAGCGATGACGGCCAGCTCGCTCCCCTACCCATATTTTTCATGCGGCTTCGTGTTGCCAGTGGTTTGTCGGTGCTTCGGTGCCCAGCTACCCGTCAACAATGGCTGCGAGCTGCGAAGGGCTGCGCTGGATTCGCAACCCAGCCCCGCCTGACGGAAGCCATGGTGTGCGAGTCTGCCACTCAGCGCCCGGCGCGCTTGTCGTCTGTCTGCCGTCGTCTCTGCTACTCGCCGAAAGGGAGTGCTCGCGCGCGACACAGGCACGCAGGCACACACACCTAACTCTCACAGGGTCGCACTCACACGCGGAATACAGGGACATTGATATGCAGGACGCGCGGCTCCCTCATCCCATCATCTCACATCTCCCCCCAGGCTCTGCCCTCGATGGCGCCGCCGCACCGGCAGTGCGAGCAGCGACCGCCGACGATCCCCAGCCCATGGGCGTCCCTGTGCGGCCATTGGCGTCAGAGTCCGGCCGCCCCCTAGGGCCGCGCGGTGCCCTACTTTGTGAACATGGCGTGCGGTGCGTTGTTCTCTCTATTTTTTCGTCTGGACGGGCCCAGTGGCCGGGCGGTCCAAGGTAAGTAACCTCGGAGCCAAACAGCGCAAAGCGTGATGCGATGTATATTTAAATAAATATGTACGTCAATGGTGGCCCCTAATGCAGCGGCGGGCCAAGTCATGCCGTCGACCCAGGGACTTAGCATAAGCTCAGTCCCTTTTTGCTAGCAAGCCTCTAAGCCTCCACCGACATTGAAACGGAAACCACGCAGTGCAGTGCTGTGTAATCCTACCTCCCCCTGTTCCTGGCTTGGGCTGAAGATCATCTCACCTACCTACCTCCGTTGTTGCCGGGGCCACCACCAACAGCCAAAGCCAGCCCCAGCGCACCTTGTCCGTCGATCTTGAAGCGAGGGTATCGGGCATATATCAGTCCCCCTCCCTCGGGTCCCCAGCCCAATTCCTCTCTTTTCCCCAGCTCAATCTATCCAGCCACCTTCGCTACTGCTGCCTGCATACAATTAACAGTCCCGATCCAAGTCACACACAGACTCAGTAGCAAAGCCGTTTTATCTCAAACCCCCGCAAATATGAAGGCCGCAACCCTTTCCGCCATCTTGGCGCCTGCTCTCGTCCACGCCCAGTGGTGGGGTGGTGCTCCAGACTGCGCTGTAAGTTGCTCTGCAATTTGAACCCCCACTTAGGCTCATGATAGCTGACCCCCCGCCCAGCAAGACTGCTTCTCGTCCTACTTCACTTCGCAGAGCTCTTGGCCTGCACCGACCAACTACTGCTCGGCCACCCAGGGCGCCTCGGTGTCTAGCTGCATCAACTCGGCCTGCTCGGCCACTCCCACTGCCGTGACATCGTACAGCTCGCTGTCCTCGTCGCTCTGCGCCGCCTACGCCTCTTGCAGCAGCGCCGGCTCTACTGGTGTCTACACCATCTCGCTCCCTGGCTTCACCGGCACTCTCGGTGACGGACCCGGCGGTTTCGGTGGCCCTGGAGGGCGTGGCGGAGCTGGTGGTCACGGTGGGCCTGGTGGGTCTGGTGGGCCCGGCAACTGGGGCACCAACGACGACTGGGATGCTGGTGCTACCAAGACCTGGACCGGCGGTGTCTACACCGTCACCGGTTGCGAGTGGGACGGCTCCCCGTGGGCCGGCGGCCCGGGCGGCTGGTCGAGCGCTGGTGGTCAGGGCGGTTCGCCTTGGGGTAACTGGGGCCACGGCTGGAAGTGGTCAACGGCCACCGCCACCATCACTCAGACCATCACCTACACCACCGGCGGCGTCACCGCTTTCTCCACTGTTGTCGGCCCGGCGACTTACGCTCTCGCTGTTAGCGGTGACACCACGCAAACCTCGATCATCAACGCCGGCGCGGCAAACCCCACCAACAGTGCTGGCAGTGCGGCGGCTCCTAACAACGGTGATGGTCTGGGCGTTAAGGTCGTGGGCGCACTGCTCGGCGGTGTGGTCGCCGTTGCTGGTCTGCTTTAAACGACTTGAATGTGTGTGTCATCATCACTCATGAGCGACGTGTATGGGCATATGAGTTTTCTTTCGTGTCTTGGCTTTCTGGGTTTGGGTAGGAAAGGGGTAAATGAGTAATGGGGTCCGTTCCTTCACCAGTACCGACAAACGGAATGTCAATTTGGGTGGGAGAGGAGGAATAACATTGGTATTCGGGAAAATAGCTTGGCATGATTTAGGAGCCTTTTGCATAGAGATGATCACTAGCATAGCATGCGTTGCCTCGTTTGGTTCATTCAAAGGGGATGAGATGACGGGGTGATGTGCATGAATAGATTGTTTTCATCATCGCATGGGATTCTGATGCCGTGAAGTAAATAGCGTCGCTGCCTGTAGTCTTTTTTCCCCGCCACCTCAATTTTGAAGGTATACTCCGTCTGAGCGATACGGCAAAAGGAAGCGGTACAGCTTATTAGGCAACCAGCATCTAAACAGTACCAACACCTCCAGCCCAGCCATGAATAACTCTTGTTCAGGAAAACACAAAAAATGAAATAATTCTTCCGAAAGTCATTGGGATTAGCAGGAATCGAACCTGCGTCGTCTCAGACCATGTGATTGGGCACCACAATGAGATATACTGACCACTATACTATAATCCCCCAATGTTGGTTGAGAATTGGTTCCCAAGAGGAGTCTATGGAGCCCCCTCGGCCCCGTTGTGAGTAATACTTCAAAAAGGAGTGGAGTTCGGGTTAAAGGTTGGGTCATAAACGGTGCTCATGTGGACCGGACCGCCTTTGGACCCTTGTAGGTTCGCATTTGTTTCCGCTATGCATATTTATTATCTCTATTCTCGCTATGCGTTGTGTCCGACTGTCAGAAAGGGGGATGGATGTTCGCCGTTGGGAGAAGGAAATCGCAGCCCTTTGGGAGGCGTTGCAGGTTCCTCCTGGAAGTTGAGAGACATGCAAAAGGCCACCTGGGCATCTAATTGTTATACATACCATTGAGTTTATCTTTGCCCCGGGTGCCATTGCGCTCGACAAAAATAGCTGCGTTCTAGATAAACGTCCCAGAGGGCGAGTGCAGGGCCCCATAGCGTCCAAGCCGTGATGGAAAGTCACGGGCCCTCTTCATGGGCGGATCTAACAGGGCGGTTAACTTAAGCTCAAGCCTTGATCTTTCCCATAGGGTTCGTCTCATCCATGAGCCTCGATATGTCAAAACAATGACGCAACAGTAGTTGCATCGTGAACGAGCTTGGCGACGAGCTTTGTGTCGGCTAATACAAGCGGTACACTCCAGCCCTTGTTTGTTTCTGCGCGCGCAATATTCGAAGAGAGATACTCCGTACTGGAGTCTCGAAAAAGGCAATTCTAGCATTCCGAAATAATCTCTACTATTTTAAAAGGCCTTTCCATGTTTATAAAAAAGGTGTCCCTGATGTCGAGAAATGAGGAGCCCACAGGGCAAGGGGCTGGGTTGCAGGAAGCTAGACGCCAAGGGACCCCCCACCCCGTGTTGTGTTATCGATACTAGCTCGGCCGCCTCAAACCGGGGAGGAGCTAGGGACCTGAGAGACATCAGCCGATCCGACAGACATACTCGGGCGACACTCACTAGGGCACTCATTCGCTGTTGCACCTCAACTTGACATCCGACTCATTGTCTTCTCATTCCAGCGCCTGGATCGGTCGCAACCAAGCAGCGCCATGAAGCCCACCACCCTTCTCCTCACAGGCTGCACCGCGGCCGCAGCCGTAGCCGTCCCTGCCGCCCGGATCCCAACCTCGTACGAATCCGCCGTCCTCGCCCGCCGCATCCTGGCGCTCACGCCGTTGGGCACCCTCGCCACCATCTTCCCCTCAGACTCCCCGTCCACGGCAGAAAACCGACCGGCAGCTGTCGCAGGCATGCCGCACTCCTTGATGGATTATATCTCCGACTGCGAGCCCGCCTCGACCGGCAACCCGACGCTGCTCGCGCTGCCCATCGAGACGACCTTCAAAAACACCGCCGCCGGCAGCAACCTCTCCATCGCCGTCCAGTGGACCCCCCCCCACCCCCCCTCCCGCTCCCTCCTCTCCTCCCTGGCCTCCTTCTTCACCACCTCGGCCCCACCGCCGCCGCTCAGGTACTCCCCCGCCGCGCTCCCGCGCTTCTCGCTGCTCGGCCACGTCGAGCCCATCCCCGGCGGCGACGACCGCGCGCCGGGGGCCCCGGGCGCCGCGCTCGCCAGGTGCTTCACTGCGGTGCACCCCGATGCGCGGTACTGGCTGCCGGGGAACCGGATCCACGAGTCGCACTTTGTGCGGCTGGTCGTCGAGCAGGTGTACTGGATCGGAGGGTTTGGGGACCGGGCATTCATCGGGTGGATTCCCGTGGACGAGTGGAGGAGTGTCACCGAGGAGGAGTGGCAGGCGGTTCGGTTGCCGGGGGAGGAGGAGGGCGCGCTCTTGGGGGATTTGTAAATTGACTTTGGGATGGAAGGAGGGCGGAGGGGGGGGGGTGTGACACAGTGGAGGCGGCTGTGTCACGGTTGGGGAGTGCTTGTGTGACCGGGGCTTTGTTTACATACACGAACATCAGAGACGATATCCTGGGGCATGCTGCGGGAGCCACAACACACGTACATAACGCAGCGAGTTGTTATACAGCGAACTATTTCGTCATCCATGATATTTAGGGGAACGCTGTCACTGCGCTCGGAAGATCTGCGTGTTTTCCCCCGGCCGCCGCCCGTCTGCGATGTCACTCCGGCAAGAAGAACGCAGCGAAAATACCAACCAGGGCGACAAGTGCCAATCCCACACCGAGTCTCTAGGACCACCAGCTTCACTGCGGGGCCAGTGCTCCTCTCTATCCAAGTTTTAGCATACAACTTTCATCAGTCCGCCTCAGTACCATGTTATACGGGCTTGCTGGCAATGTTGTCAAGGCGCCTACGAAGCAAGATAGGTTTATGACAATACGTGTCTGGCTGGTTGGCTAATGTAGGCCGCTTAGGTAGCATCAACACGCGAAGGATTGCTGAGATCATGACCCCTACCCTACATGGGCCCTACGTCATGCCCGGGTCTTTCTGCTGTTTGCATGTACTCGTTATTTGGATTAAATAGGGTATCAAACACAATCTAGCCATATGCACACGATAAACCTCGCTTTTGGTTCAACCTGCCATCCATCCTTCCGGTCCATGTTTATACATATGTCATATACCACCTTCCCCTTTACTTCCCACCGGCACACAACCCTAACAAAACCTTTCTGCGCCGGGGCACCTTCCTATGTTCTACCAACCATCCCGGGCTCAATCCACCCGAATGATAACCTTCCACCCAAGCGCGCCCGCCTCCCGTATCGCACAGGCCAAGCAGCCCCTTCTCCTCCGGCTGATCAGGGCGTTCCAGCCTTTTTCAGCGCAAAACGCTCTCGCCAGGATCTCCATATCAGACCCGAACTGCCGCCGCCGCGTCTCCGAGTGCATCTTTTTAGACGCACTTTCAGGGGCGCCAGCGGTGGCCTTGTCATCACTTATCTCAGCCCCAGATCGTTGAGGTGAAGGGAAGCTAGCTGATCCCCAGCTATCCCCCCGGCTGAGGATAGGAGACAGGGGGATTTCGTGCTCCTGTGGCAACGACTGGAAGCCGGTGATGCAGTCAACCACGAGCACCTTCGCAGCGTTGTTTGCTGTCACTGGGGTAAGGCTCGGGCGGTGCGCCGTCGATGAGTACGTACCCAGCAACGCCTCGAGAGAGAAGTCCTGTTTCGCCAGTAACTCGGATAGATGGAGTGCCGTGTATGTGTAGTACTTGTGCAGAGGATGTCCTGTGATTGCGTCAGCATTAGGCTGGAAAAGAAGAGAAGCTGAAAAAATCTCTTACCGACAACGCTGGCGGTCTTACCAGCCATGCCATAGCCAGACGTATCCACCTGCTGGATAGTGGGGCTCGAGGGAGATTTCAGGATCTTGACATGCTGGGAAGGTACACAAGGATGCGCTGTTAGGAAGTTGATGTCTTTGCCTATGCCGTAGGTGTATTCCTTTTCCTCCCCTGTACCGCTGTTTATCACTGTGAAAACAACAGACGCCGTGTATGTGTGGATTTCCGGAGCCTTGCTCATCTCTGACAGTGGCGTTATGCCATGTTCGGTTGGGGTCGTGTGAACCGAACCAGCTGGTGCGGACATATTCAGAGTCTTGAGTTCAACCCAGAGACTAGGGGGTGACTTGTCTCGGTAAATGTTTTCAAAGGGAATGATGAAGTCTGCTGGAAGGACAGAGGAAGGATCAGCATCGCCGAGCACCCGAGACTCTCTTTCGACAGACTGCTTAGCCCATAGTCGAGCCTTCTTGTCGATATAATGTGCATCCTCTGCCGATGCGTTAGTTTTGGTAGTCTTGGGAAAAATTCGATGCTGTAGGGAGTCGTTACCTGCTGTTTCCTTGACTTCGACGTTAATCCAACCATCCCCAAGCCCCTGAGGAATGATATCACTTGATATCCAGCCCATACACTCCGCAGAACCCTTGCCCGCCGCAAGCACACGGCCGATCATGCACGCCGTACTCCAGAAACTCTTGCCCGAGTAAACAAATCCGCCACAGAGGTTCGCCATGGGACCAAGTTTTGCCATGGCCTCCTGGTCATTCTCCAACAGAGTTGCCATCAAAAAGTGGCAAAGCCCCTCCCCCGGCAGCATCAGGCCCGACACGTAGCTCTTTGATAGCCAACCGGACGGATGGAGGGCTGCCGATATCTTTCTTCGCCTCGACGTCACGCGTTTGGGGTGCGAATCAGGTTTGGCAAAATCGCCAAAGTATGACGACCGTCGGCTTCCAGCTCGACTGCTGGGACTAGCAAGCGGTGTGTTGAGCGGGGTGCCTTCCGTGACGCTACGGCAATTATCCGAAATCCTCGTCGACGAGTACGAGTCGAGATCTGGCCAACGTAGCTGCTTCGCAAAATGGATTAAACCGTTGACCTGGCGCTGGACATGATTCCCCTTAATCGCATAGACAGGGCCGTGATGGTGGTGGATGTGGTTTGGGCCGTGCTCGCGAGACAGCGACATCCGCTTGGTCAGGGTTGCCAGCCAGCCAGAGGGCTTCTCGGTAGGGCTCGGGGGTTCCGTGGACTCCGTCTTGACCACTTCAATGTTCTCTAACCACGCCCGAGCGAGATGGAGCGACCATTTGACGGACTTGTTGGCATCCTTCTCAAATCTCAGGATCTCTGACGGCTTGATACTCTCAATGCCGAGTTCCTCTCCCTCTGTAATCGCGTCCAGCCGCACAAGCAGCTCACAGGCCAACAGAATTTGCATAAGCAGCCAATACCTCTCTTCGTGGATATCGCTTGTAGAATCAGCCGTCATGACGGATCCCCCATCGCTGATTTCATCCTCATTGTTTCCCCATAACAGCTGGCCGAGGCGAATCCGCCACTCGACATGCGAAAAGTCGATCCACATATTCGGCGCTGCGAGAACCTTGACCAGGGCTGAAATCTGCACCGAGAGGCTGTACGGATCTCTATGGTCAAGCACCTTTGTCGGGGGGTGCAGAATCTGGAGGAACAACTCATTGTAAAGCTCGCTCGAGACCCGACGCTCCCGTGGGTGCGGCTCGCTGTACCGCCGACCATTCTTTATCAGC